CTCATTGGAGTGAGGGCTTTTAGATGCCAGAACTGGGATGTAGCAGCTGGAGTGTTTGTTTCTGTTTTGACTTTCCATAATGACTTTCCCACCATTTGTGACTTACACTGGTAGAGAGGGGGTAGAAAATGTTTGGGATGTGCTGCCTGGAGGGATTGAAATGTGCTCAAAAGACTGGAGATGTTCCCCTGGAGAAGAGAAGGCTCCAGGGAGACCTGAGAGCCCCTTGCAGGGCCTAAAGGGGCTCCAGGAGAGCTGGAGAGGGACTGGGGACAAGGCATGGAGGGACAGGACACAGGGAATGGCTTCCCACTGCCAGAGGGATGGAATTCCCAGAGAAGCTGTGGCTGCCCCTGGATCCCTGGAAGTGTCCAAGGCCAGGTTGGAGCACCCTGGGCTGGTGGAAGGTGTCCCTGCCCATGGCAGGGCATGGAATGAGATGATCCCTCATGTCCCTTCCAACCCAAACCACAATGGGATTTTATGAATATTCCTTGAGATCTGGTATCCCATCTTTCTAAAGTCCTGTTTCAGCCTTTCCTAGAAATTAATCTACAGCAAATTTGAACTGCAGTGACAGAGGACAGGGAGGAGGACTCTCCCAAAACCTGGCACGGGGTCTGTGGGTGGGATGTCCCCTGGCTGCTGAGCAGATTTGGGGCTATTTTAGTGTATTTTGGAGTTATTTTGGAGGTATTTTAGGACGTATTTTGGGGTTGCTTCGTGAGTGTTTGGGAATCCAGATGAATGGGAGCAGAGAAAGGGGTGCTGGGGTTTTCCTTCCCCCTGTGCCAACCTGAGGAGGGAAATGAACACAATCCCAACCCATCCCCGTGTGCCCGGGAGGGCCATTAGCACAACCGATAATTACAGGTTTCATATGCAAATCCATCGGGGTTGATGGAGCAGCAGCGCCCATGCAGCGGGATGGGTAATTGGGCTGTGCTGGGTTGTCTCCGGGAGCATTCCAGGCAGGAATTCCTGCTTTATTTCAGCAGCGTCGTCTTCAAACACAAACATTTGCTGTGTTTATGCATTTTTGAGCAGCCCAGAGGAGCAAACCCATGTTTGGTGTCCCCTGTCCCTGCGCTGTTCCTACAATCCCCACGGTCTTTATTTCCCGGGTATTCAGAAGGTGAAAGAAATGGGTGTTTTGTCGGTGATAGAAAGGAAAAACAAACAATTCCTGTGCCCTCTCCCTGGCAGAGCCCCAAACACCGGGGTTACTCGGGAGGGATTCACTCAGTTAAACTGAAATCACGGAATGGTTTTGTTTGGAAGGGACCTCAAAGCCCACCCAGTGCCACCCCTGTCATGGGCAGGGACACCTTCCACCAGCCCAGGGTGCTCCAAGCCACTGTCCAACCTGGCCTTGGACAAGTCTTAATAAATCCTGAAATGCCTTGAAGGCTGTTTTTGCTGCCTGTGCTTAAAAAGGACAAATGCCACGAGAAAGGGAAATGTCTCCTGTGGGAACAAATGAAGGGGTTTGCTTTGGAAAGGTGAGGCTGCCGTGGCTGTGGGTGCAGGTAGAGCTGGCCAGCCCAAGGGATGCCCAGCTGGGACATGAGGGACAGCAGCCCCATGTGTCTGAGGCGTCTCTGCAGGTGGGGAATATGGGATAACCTTTTCCAAAAGCAGGGAAGGGCTTGGTTCTGGCTGCTGAGCCGACCTGGACTGCAGGTGGTTCCCCCACATCAGCTGCTGCCTCCTCACAGCAAGGTGTGCAAAGACAGGGGCCCTGAGCCCCCTGGGGCAGTGGAAGGTGTCCCTGCCCATGGCAGGGGGTGGCACTGGATGGGCTTTAAGTTCCTTCCAACCCAAACCATGCTGGGATTCCATGATTCGTGATCTCTTTATTTCTCTAGTGGAGGATGATTTGGTGGTCAGTGTTACCTCTGGTTGGGCTGTGACAGGCTTGGGGTGTTTGTCTGGAGTCACAGGATCCCAGGATGGGTCAGGCTGGAAGGGCCCACAGTGTCCCACCTGGTGCCACCTCCCTGCCCCAGCAGGGCCATCCCAGAGCACATGGATTGTGTCCAGAGGGCTCTGGAATATCCCCAGGGAGGAGACTCCCCCCTGTCTGGCCAATCTGCTCAGGGCTGGGTCCCTGCCCAGCCAAGAAGTTCTTCCTCCTGTGCAGGTGGAACTTGCTGGGCATCAGTTCCTGCCCGTGGCTCTTGTGCCATTGCTGGGCCCCCCCGAGCAGAGCCTGGGCCATCCTCTGCCCCCTCCCTGCAGGCCCTGCCAGCCCTTGGGGAGGTGCCCTCTGAGTGTCCCCTCTGGAGCCTGAACAGCCCCAGCTCCCTCAGGGATGCTCCAGGGATGCAAAGGGCCGTGGTGACAGGGGACATCAGCCCAGGCATCTCCCCGTGTCCCTCACGGCTCCCACCCCTCCCAAGGCCACACCCGCTTTCCCTGCACTCCAAACCACTTCCCAACTTTCCCAAGTTTGCAAGGGGAGGTCTCAATGCCGCGCTGTTAAATTTCCAGCATCTCCATTCACCCCGGAAGGCTCCTGTGTTGGGAGGGATTCAGAATAAAGCCGCCCTTCATGGGTCCTCGTTACCGCTCCCGAGGGGCCTGTGCTGCTCAAGTGCCCGTATTGTGACAAGTGTCTAATTATGGATCCTTTCAGGACCACCCCCCCAGAGATGCCATTGTGGAGAAAGGTGGGGGGGGAGATGATAATTTGCATCCAGCAGGAGCTTTTCCCCATTATCTCCGCTGTGCATAAATAAGGAAAACAAATCGCGGCGCCCGCTGCTCCTCCTCGCCTTTATCCCGCGGCTCGGGTTGTTAGAGCTGTTCTGCTTCGCTCCCTCTCCTCCCAGGGTTGTTGTTCTCGTTGTTCTCTGCCTCAGCACCCCCACCCCTGCCCAGGTCCTGGCTAATTGAACCTCCTCTTTTCATCGGGCAATTGGACGAAAAACAAAACACACAAACCCTCTTGGCTGAAAGGGCTTTTCATCCTTTGAAAAGCAAAGCAGTGGCCGGAGAGATAAAGGCTTGAGCGACACCCACCACCTCGGTGTAGATTCTCCTGCTTTTCCCTTTGTGCCTTTGCTCTTTTTATTGTTTTGATGCACTTTCTCCTCTTTTCTCACTGTCTTTCTGAGGGTGAGGATTGTCCTGCTTTGTCTTTATTGACACCTGTGGATGGGGATAGTTTGGGGGAGAAAAGGCTGAAATGCAGTGTTAGTTTTGGCACCTCAAACCTCAATTAAAGGGAGTGATTAATGACTCCATGTCCCTGTCACAGCTCCATGTGAGTGGCACACCACGTTTTCCCACGTGTCCTGTGTTGTTCACTCCCTTTCCTAATTATCCCCACTGACAAAGCCCCTGGAGAAATGGAAGGATGGAAATACAAGCTTTGGGAGGTGAAAAGACCTCCTTCTGCTTCGGTTTTTCTCTAATTACAAGTCCCTTTTTTTAGACCTTTGCAGGAGAGTAACATGCAAATATTCTGGTTTCCTGTGTTTTGTCTCATTTTTTCACATTTGGAGGGACAAAATGAGCCAAAACCTGGTTTGGGTTTGCTCCCAAGTGGGAGCAGGATGGGCCTGTTCCATGGAAGATCAGAGGTTGGGAAAGGTCTTTAAAGGCCATCTAGTCCAACCCCTGTGACATGGGCAGGGACATCTTTAACGAGACCAAGTAGCTCCAAGTTCTGTCCATCCTGACCTTGAATATTTTCAGGGATGGGACAGCTCTGGGCAAAATCTCTTTGTGGGTTTAGGTCAAAATGCAGTGAATTGGGGCCGTGTTTTGGGGCACCATCCATAGGTTTTGGCTGTTTCCAGAGGCTGGAACGTGCTGGTGAGACACTCGTGTCCCCCCCGTGCCCCGTGAGATGTGCTGGCCCTGCCTCGTACAAACCAGTCTGTTCAACTCAATAATGCAGGAGAACAGAGGGCACCTCTGGGGGGGTCACCCAGGACAGCCTGGGTGCGTTCCAGGTGGGAAGGTGGGGAGCAGGAGATGTGGTGAAGGCAGCAGCAGTCGCTGCAAATATCCATCTCCTACTCCCAGCTCCGGGATGCCACTCCAGATTATCTGTGCCAGGTCCAGCAGCTGTCACAGAGTCTCCCAGTGTCGTGCAGGTCACTTTGATGTCTCTATTTTAGTCACCTGGGCATGAAAAATCAGAGCAGAGGCACCTTGTGTCGCTCCAGCCTTTCCCAGAGGCTCCCTTCATTTTTCCTCCTCCGTGCCCGCACCTGGGCTGGGAATTCCACTGAGGGAGTTAATGATAAAGGCAAAGCATCGCCACAAATCCTTTGAAAAAGTGGATGGAGGTGTTGGAAAGGATATAACTTTCCTAAACTTATAATTAATGGTAGCAGTTGGTGGGTTTCTTTTACCAGACTCGTTGGTTTGATCTTTAAAGCACTGAAACTTGGAGTTTCTCTGGGCTGGCTCTGATGGGTTTTAGAAGACAAAGCTTGAAGGAGCTGAAGATTGGTTATCTGGGATCTTAAATTTATGAGAGACATGTTGGAGTAACCAGAAGATACACAGATTAAGAAAGACATCTCAGCCTGAGAGCTGGAGACTCTGTCTGAGGAGGAGTGATAAGAGGACCAAGGAATGCAGACCAAATTAGCCAATGAAGGATAGAACACTGATTAATGAGGAGAATTGTGGAACTCAGAACAAAAAAAACACATTAATTTCCTTGTTTGCTGAAATGCATAAACAGGTCTCAAAAGGACACTTGTGCAGCTGGAATGAATCTCTGGCCAGAACAGAGCAGTGCCTGGCTCACAAACACTTCAAAGGTGGGCTTGGAGGGTTTCATTTCTTCCTGACCATTTTTGGGGGCGGAGAACTCCCAAATGTGTTTCTGAAAGAACATATTTGACAAAGATCAGAACAGCGGGGGTTGATGTAAGGAAGGCTGGGGACGCCAGGGGTTGGGTCTCCCCCCTGGGCTCTGGGAGTGATGTTTGTGTGGTTGGTTTGTGTCCCTGACCTCTGGCCTTGCCCCCTCCCAGGCAAAGCCTACGCCCCGGAGTTCTACTACGACACCTACAACCCGCTGTGGCAGAACCGGCCCCGGGTGTATTCCTACAGCCTGCAGTGGACGCAGATGAACCCCAGCGCCGTGGATCGCATCCTCGCCTACCGCCTGGGCATCCGCCAGGTCAGGAGCCGCGCGGCCAGGGCGTGTCCTGGGGGGCTGGGGAGCTCTGGGAGGGCCTCTGGGCCTTGATTTGACTGTATTGAACTTTAATTTTATGAAGTTTATTTTATTTTATTTTATTATTCCATTCCACTCTTCTCTTTCTCTCTTCTCTCTTCTCTCTTCTCTCTTCTCACTTCTCTCTTTCTCTTCTCTCTTTCTCTTCTCTCTTTCTCTTCTCTCTTTCTCTTCTCTCCTTCTCTCCTTCTCTCCTTCTCTCCTTCTCTCCTTCTCTCCTTCTCTCCTTCTCTCCTTCTCTCCTTCTCTCTCTCTCTCCTTCTCCTCCCCTCCTCCCCTCCCTCCCTCCCCTCCCCTCCTCCTCCCCTCCCCTCCCTCCCCTTCCCTCCTCCCTCCCCTCCCTCTCCCTCCTCCCCTCCCCCTCCCCTCCCTTCCCTCCCTCCCCTCCTCTCCCTCCTCCCTCCCCTCCTCCTCCTCCCCTCCCCTTCCCTCCCTCCCCTCCTCCTCCTCCCCTCCCCTCCCCTCCCTCCTCTCCCCTCCTCTCTCCTCCCTCCTCTCCCCTCCTCTCCCTCCTCTCCTCCTCCCCCTCTCCCCTCCTCTCCCCTCCTCTCCCCTCCTCTCCCCTCCTCTCCCCTCCTCTCCCCTCCTCTCCCCTCCTCTCCCCTCCTCTCCCCCTCCTCTCCCCTCCCTCTCCCCTCCTCTCCCTCCTCTCCCCTCCTCTCCCCTCCTCCTCCCCTCCTCTCCCCTCCTCTCCCCTCCTCTCCCCTCCTCTCCCCTCCTCTCCCTCCTCTCCTCTCCTCTCCTCTCCTCTCCTCTCCCTCTCCTCTCCTCTCTCCTCTCCTCTCCTCTCCTCTCCTCTCCTCTCCTCTCCTCTCCTCTCCTCTCCTCTCCTCTCCCCTCTCCCCTCCCCCCCCCCCTCTCCCTCTCCTCTTCCCAAACCTTCCCTTCCCTTTTCTTTCCTAACCTTCCCTCCCCAACCCTCCTTCTCCCTTCTCTTCCCTTTCTTTGTTCTCTTCCATTTCACTCCCACAATCCATCCTTCTTCCAAGCCACCCTTGCTGGGAACCCTTCCTTGGCCACCCCATCCACCTCCAAGCCTCATCCCACCGGTTGGGCTCCAGGCTTGGTCTGGATGTGACCCACTCGAGGTCCCAGTGCTCCCACCCCCCATCTCCTGGTCCCCTGCCCCCAGTCCCTCTCCCAACCTGAACCTTCTCCTGTGACATTTCCCACTCTCAGCCCTGAGAACCCACCTGGCATCGATTGGGGTTCATTTTCCTTTAAATACCCCCCCGACTGGCTGATTTAAAAGCTGTGTATTTGGTGATTGAACGCCTGAAATAACCGTTTGTGCAGGGAGGGAGAGGTTGGGGATTAAGGCAGATTTCAGAGACGTATATTTTGGCAAAGCTGAGGCGGAAAACAGCTCGTTATCCCCCAGATCTCCCACTGGGATGAGCTTTGGGAGCTGCAGAGCAAACAGGCCGTTTGAGCGCGTTATTTATGCTGAACAGACTCACGGAGGTTGTGCTTGAGCAACTTCCCCGCCAGCCCTGGAGCTGACTGGGACAAACCCAGGGAAGGGCTTTGGTACCTGGAGGGCCCTGGCTCTCCTTCCCTCTCCTTCCCTCTCCTTCCCTCTCCTTCCCTCTCCTTCCTCCTGCCTCAATCCAACTCATTTGAAATGAAAATCGGTGACTTTTAATCCGTGTTTGTGCCACTGTTTGCATGGTTGGGCACAAATGAGGGCCGTGATTCCCCGGCCCCGAGAGGAATTAGGGAATTATGAGGAGAACTCGCTGAAGTCAAAGAATATATAATGAAATTAATTGCATTAGGATTTTTAGCTTCTGCTTTTTTTTTTTTCCTGCTTAATTTTAATTTAATTTTAATTATCTATTTATATAATTAACTGGAGTTATTTTGCTCTAATTTCCTTGACAACACTCTGTGTCAGGCTCATCAGAACATTCCCCTTTCGTGCCTCTGAAGCCACATTTCGAGCCGGGGTGATTTGGAACCCAGCGATCCATTCGGACACACCTTATTGCAGCCATTCCCCCCAGAGCAGGGGTGATAATTAAAATGCTTGTTTTGATTTACACCCACCAGTGCTGTCCCCCAGCAGACTGTTTGTGGTGGGTAGTTATTTGACTTGGCAATGTATTTTTTGCTGGGGTTTGCCGGTTTTTGTGGACCACAGAACATCTTTTGGCAGTGGTGGAGGACGTGGCTGTGCCGAGGTGCTGGTGGAAAGAGGACAGGAGGTTTTCCAGGTGGGAATGGAGTTCTGAGCTGGAAAAATCAGCTGCTCTTAATCTCTGTTTTAATCTTCTGATGCACTGCAAACGCTGCCAGTGCGGTGGGATCTGCTCCTGGTTCCATCAACGCCGTTCCCTTTATCTGATCCCTGAATTGCTGTTGTGTTAAGGGTGCTGACGTCTCTCCCTCTGCACCTGCCCTGTGCAGTGCTGCTGCTTCAGACAGAATCCAGGGAGAACGTGGGGAAGATTTCATTCACAGCAGGTTTAGAGTTGTTGAATTTCCACGGAATGCCAGCCTGGTTTGGGTCGGAAGGGACCTTAAATCCCATCTCATCCCACCCCTGCCATGGGCAGGGACATCTCCCACTAGCCCAGGTTGCTCCAAACCCTGACCTTCTGTTTTGTGTGGAAATTGTTCAAGTCTCTTGGTACAGACCATACTTTTAAGGACATTTTATGCTTTTTCAAAGACACAGAGTGCTCTGGCTCCACTTCTGTATTTTTGGCAGGTGGTTGTAGAAAGCAACATGAAGGTTGTGCTTAATGATGACACTTTTTAAAGGGCAAAGGAGGCTGGTGAGAGCACGGGGCAAACTGGGGGTCTCCCCTAAAGACAAATTGTTCTGCTGGGAGTAATTAGGGGATACAGAGTTCCAGCAGCAGGAAAGGATTTCCTTGGCTGGCAGAAAGTGAAGATTGGAGAGGGGGAGAAGTCTCTGCCTTGACCAGCTCAGGTGAGCAGGACTTGACTGAGATCATTCTAGAGCTTTCCCTTCACCCCTTCATTTCATAGAATTCCAGACTGGTTTGGGTTGAAAGGCCCTCAAAGCCCATCCAGTGCCAACCCCTGCCATGGGCAGGGACACCTTCCACCAGCCCAGGGTGCTCCAGCCTGGCCTTGGACACTTCCAGGGATCCAGGGGCAGCCACAGCTTCTCTGGGCAACCTGTGCCAGGGCCTGCCCACCCTCCCAGCCAGCAATTCCTTCCCAATATCCCAACTAAACCTCAACAACCCAGAGGATTTCATGGCTCTGTGGGACCACATCTCTCCTGAACCCTCTTTCTCTGGGGCTTTCCTTAATTTTCTCCACGTTCCTGGAATGGGGCTCCCAGATTCCACCCTGGATGAATCACCAGAACATTCCTGTCAGATCCCACTCCATGTCACCTAATTTGTCACTGGAGTTACAAGAAACACCTCTCAGAGGAGGATGGAATGGTAGGAAAGCAGGACACAGGGAAAATTTAGGTTTTTAAGGAGATTTTAAGGTATTTTTAAGGCATTTTAAGCGTTGGGTGAGGAGAATTTTAAAAAGAAGTGTCACAGAAAATGTTAGAAAAGTTCTTTGAGAAAAAAGTGGAGCTGGGTTTAATGACATACCAGGGGAGACAAGAAGGTCAAAGAGGGAGCAGGAAGGTCCTCTCAGCTGAGGAGGGAATCATGAGGGCAGAGAAGTGTCATTTCCCTGCCTGTGGAGTGAAAATGGAGACAGAGGGAAGGAAATTTGAACTGAAGTAAGTTGTGAGGAACATACTTATTTCAGCACATTTAAAACCTGATGGGCAGGAATTCTGCAGATGTTCCATCCACCAGGATCAGGGTGTTGTCATCTCACAGCCTCCTGCAAAGGGGAGAGAGGATTGCAAGCTGGGAATTTGCACTTGCTCTGCTCTGGGACATGTAAAATATCTGCACATCAAAATTCATGTGAATTGTACTCAGAGCCAGCCAAAATAATTACTCACATCTGGAGCAATTCATTTCAGGGGAGGAGGAGGGAGAGTTTGACGTCCACGTGTACCCTGGAATATTTCCAATGTTGCTCCCCTGAAAGATTTGACTCTATATTACATTATCTGTCCCAAAGACTTCCCTGTGTGCATTCATTGTGGAAATCTAAAAAGGCCTTGCTTTCCTCCTCTTCCATCTGCACCTGTGACTGAGGCAGGGAGAGTTTGGCCAAAAAAAAAAAAGCAACGAGTGTGACATGCAAAGGCACGTCCCTCATTGATTTTCCTGGCTTTGGCAAATTGAATCAGGGCAGAAATGGCTCTGCTTTCCAATTTTCAGTTTGCAGGGCTGGGGCCTCCTGTGCTCGTCCTTCCCGAGGCTGAGGAAGGGTTTGCAAAGTAGGAAGCTGAGCCTTGGGATGTGAGATCTGGAGCCAAGCCTTTTAATTGCCAGTTAAAAATGGTCCCAGCCTTGGGACAGATGAGGCAAATATTTACATATAATTCTGAAAATAAAATTTCTACAGATTATGATGTCTTGAGAAATTCAGAGCTAAACAGGTTTAAATCCCACAGAGCCAGGCTGGGAGAGTTGGGAGGGTTCCCCTGGAGAAGAGAAGGATCCAGGGAGACCTGAGAGCCCCTGGCAGGGCCTAAAGGGGCTCCAGGAGAGCTGGAGAGGGACTGGGGACAAGGCATGGAGGGACAGAACACAGGGAATGGCTTCCCACTGGAAAAATGTAGATTAAAATGGGATATTGGTAAGGAATTGCTGGCTGGGAGGGTGGGCAGGCCCTGGCACAGGTTGCCCAGAGAAGCTGTGGCTGCCCCTGGATCCCTGGAAGTGTCCAAGGCCAGGTTGGAGCACCCTGGGCTGGTGGAAGGTGTCCCTGCCCATGGCAGGGGGTGGCATTGGAGGAGATTTAAGGTCCCTTCCCAACCCAAACCATTCTGTATTTCCGTAATTTTATAAATTAAGACAAGCCTGTTTTAAAAAAAGAAAAAT